TCTAGTTCAGGACTTCCTGTCTGTCCTCTGAGCTTCCTGTCTGTCCTCTGGTCTGATTGGTTATCCCCCCCTGCAGCAGGGGGAGGAGTCAGAGGATGCTGTCAGGTTGCCGTGGTTTCAGCTTCTCGTTTCTTGTGGCAACTGTCGTGGGGGATGTGTGTGTGCAGCTAAAGGGTGTGTGTGAGTAAGTGTGTGTGTTTGAGTGTGTGTGCCTTGATTCTTACAGCTGTGAGGGTATATGACGATAGGAGCAGGGAGTAACGGGAGCGACGGCAGGAAGGAAGGAGGCGTTGGATTCAGATTCCTGTCGCTGCAAATCACAGAGAGGACCTCCATCTTTGTTTCTGTCAGGGAGAGGAGAGGCTGAGGGGAGGAAGAGAAGCAGACACTGAAGGAGACACTGAAGGAGACACTGTAGGAGACATGGATGGAGTTTGAGTCCTTGCTGATTCTCCGGTAAGCTTCCTGCTCTCTCCTCTCCTAACCATCGTCCCCTCTTCTCTCCTCTTTCCTCTCCTCTTTCCTCTCTCCTTCCCTCTCTCTTCTCCTCCTGCTTCCTGTTTGTCTCTGAGTGAAACACAGCTGTTTCTATTTCAGTATCTAATTTCAACGCGGCAGCCATCTTGGATCAGCCCTGAGTTACAGATGTATTTCATGTGAAGCTCTTATTTTGAAGGAGTGGACCATGACACCTGAATGTATTTCATGTGAAGCTCTTATTTTGAAGGAGTGGACCATGACACCTGAATGTATTTAATGTGAAGCTCTTATTTTGAAGGAGTGGACCATGACACCTTAATGTATTTAATGTAAAGCTCTTATTTTGAAGGAGTTGACCATGACACCTGAATGTATTTAATGTGAAGCTCTTATTTTGAAGGAGTTGACCATGACACCTGAATGTATTTAATGTGAAGCTCTTATTTTGAAGGAGTTGACCATGACACCTGAAGTCTAACCCTAACCCTGAACTACAGTCCTAATGGTCGTTATCAATTATCCAATTACCATTTACATTACAAAATAGGAACAGGACTACGACATCACACCTGACCACAACAACAGCAGAACCACAAGAGGTTCTAAAGGTTCTAAACGTTGAGGGTTGATGTTCGTATCATGGGAACCCTCCCCCATTCCTCCTCCCTGTTTCCTCACCCGTTAACAGGAAGCATTACATCATGTTCCTCTGAGGGATGCTGCTGTTGCTAGGTAACCACCAGCTGACTCCCCGTGCCATTTTTAGAAGGAAGAGAGAGAGGGGGAGGGGAACGGGAAAGAGAGAGAGAGAGAGAGAGAGAGAGAGAGAGAGAGAGTGAGAGAGAGACGGGAGAGAGAGAGAGAGTGAGAGTGAGAAGTAGTGATAGAGGAGCGAGAAAGTGGTGATGCGAGAGAGTGTGATCGTAGTACCTCTAACGAGGATTTCGAGATTTTATCGCTCGCTAGATCCTAGCTACTGATCGCGAGATCTCTTAGAGAAAAGAGGGGGGGTCATCCTAATCTGTTGTTAATCTAATCTTATTAATATATTATTTTAGGACTGTGTGGTGTCATGGCGTCTCAGGAGGAGTCCTTTATTAATATTTATTTATTATTACATGGAATATTTTATTTTACATGTATTATTTTATATTATATGTATTAACATTATATTATATGTATTAATTAGGGGTGTAACGGTATCCGTATTCGTCCGGTACCATCACGGTTCGGCAAATGCTGTCGCACGACAAATACGCCTTTTTTTATGAAGGGAAAAAAGTCTGTCACTCAGGGCAGTATCCACGACACTATATATAATCCAGGGGGCGGTATTACGGCTAAAAGCTATTTGCCAGCTTGCACTACTGTTCAAAAATAAATAATAACAAACCTGGAATTATGCATTTGGGACTTTTTTTTGCTTTTTCTTGTTGTACCAAACCCGTACCGAACCGTGACCCCCAAACCGAGGTACATACCGAACCGTGAATTCTGTGAACCGTTACACCCCTAGTATTAATATTATATTATATGTATTCATATACATTACATGTATTCATATTATATGTAATAATATTCCATGATATGTATGAATATGATAGGTGTCATGGCGTCTCAGGAGGCGTCCTCCTTCAGGAGGTTCTTCCAGCTCGTGGAGGACAGCGGGCTCCGGACCTACGATGGTCTGGTGATCCAGAACGCCTCGGACATCGCCAGAGAGAGCGACCGCATCCGGACCCAGAACACCTGGACCTACCTGCAGGAGAAACACCAGAAGAAGAGACGCCAGGAGGAGGCCATCAAGAGGTGAGAGGAGTCCGAGTCATCAGTGTTGAAATCATAGAGAAGTCACGAGTCACTGGTGTTGAAGTCATAGAAAAGTCACAAGTCCTTGGTGTTGACGTCATATACAAGTCACGAGTAACTGGTGTTGAATTCACGAGTCACTGGTGTTAAAGTCATAGAGAAGTCACAAGTCACCAGTGTTGAAGTCATAGAGAACTCACAAGTCACTGGTGTTGAAGTCATAGAGAACTCAAGAGTCATTGGTGTTAAAGTCTTAGAGAAGTCACGAGTCATTGGTGTTGAAGTCATATACAAGTCACGAGTCACTGGTGTTGAAGTCATAGAGAAGTCACGAGTCACTGGTGTTGAAGTCATAGAGAAGTCACGAGTCATTGGTGTTGAAGTCATAGAGAAGTCACGAGTCACTGGTGTTGAAGTCATAGAGAAGTCACGAGTCACTGGTGTTGAAGTCATAGAGAAGTCACGAGTCATTGGTGTTAAAGTCTTAGAGAAGTCACGAGTCATTGGTGTAGAAGTCATAGAGAAGTCACGAGTCACTGGTGTTGAAGTCATAGAGAAGTCACGAGTCACTGGTGTAGAAGTCATAGAGAAGTCACGAGTCATTGGTGTTAAAGTCTTAGAGAAGTCACGAGTCATTGGTGTAGAAGTCATATACAAGTCACGAGTCACTGGTGTTGAAGTCATACAGAAGTCACAAGTCACTGGTGATGAAGTCACAGAGAAGTCACCAGTCACTGGTGTTGAAGTCATAGAGAACTCACGAGTCACTGGTGTTGAAGTCACAGAGAAGTCACGAGTCACTGGTGTTGAAGTCATACAGAAGTCACGAGTCACTGGTGATGAAGTCACAGAGAAGTCACGAGTCACTGGTGTTGAAGTCACGAGTCACTGGTGTTGAAGTCATAGAGAAGTCACGAGTCACTGGTGTTGAAGTCATACAGAAGTCACGAGTCACTGGTGTTGAAGTCATAGAGAACTCACGAGTCACTGGTGTTGAAGTCACGAGTCACTGGTGTTGAAGTCATAGAGAAGTCACGAGTCACTGGTGTTGAAGTCATAGAGAAGTCACGAGTCACTGGTGTTGAAGTCACGAGTCACTGGTGTTGAAGTCACAGAGAAGTCACGAGTCACTGGTGTTGAAGTCATAGAGAAGTCACGAGTCACTGGTGTTGAAGTCATGGAGAAGTCACGAGTCACTGGTGTTGAAGTCACAGAGAAGTCACGAGTCACTGGTGTTGAAGTCACAGAGAAGTCACGAGTCACTGGTGTTGAAGTCACAGAGAAGTCACGAGTCACTGGTGTTAAAGTCACAGAGAAGTCACGAGTCACTGGTGTTAAAGTCATGGAGAAGTCACGAGTCACTGGTGTTGAAGTCATAGAGAACTCACGAGTCACTGGTGTTGAAGTCACAGAGAAGTCACGAGTCACTGGTGTTAAAGTCATGGAGAAGTCACGAGTCACTGGTGTTGAAGTCACAGAGAAGTCACGAGTCACTGGTGTTGAAGTCACGAGTCACTGGTGTTGAAGTCATGGAGAAGTCACGAGTCAGATCAGGACTTTGACGTTTGTTCTGCCTGGTTATTGATGACAGGTTTTTTGTAACATGTCACTGCATTGGTCCATCCAGGATTGGTGAAGATGTCGCCATGGCAACAGAAGGGGCGTACTCTGGGAAACACTTCAGGATGGGTTTCATGACGATGCCGGCTAAACAGGAGCGCCTCCCCCCCCCCAGCCAGGGCTTCACTGTCCGATCCCAGTCCCTGCACTCGGTGGGCGGGGGGGACGAGGACTCCAATCCCAACAGGAAACAACCCCCCCCAAAACCCAGGAGAGACCCAAACACCAAACTGAGCGGCAGCTCCGAGGCGGTGAACGGGGGGGCAGGAGCCAGGACTGAAGATCCGGAGAGCCGAGAGACTCCTGAGCCGGCCGAGGGTGAGACGTAACCACTGATGGACAGGAAGGAGGTTCTATGTCTCTCTTCTGATCCTGGTGAATCAGAACAGAGACATACATAGATCTGGCACTTTTAGAGGGTTCTGGAAAAGGGTTACTCTGATACTTAAACAAATATCGTGATTTATGCACCCATCATTTCTATGTAGAATCAGAGACCCATTACATTACATAGCATTAGCTGACGCTTTTATCCAAAGTGACTCACAATAAGTGCAATAAGTTTTTGCAATGTTACGTAGATGGAAGTAGGCGGTCCTTGAAATTGATTTATGTGGGCGTTAAAGGATAAATCCTGATCAAATATAACACCAAGATTCCTTGCAATCTCACTGGAGGCCAAATTAATGCCATCCATAGTTAGTATATCTTTAGATAGTTATTTTCGTAGAGTCTTTGGGCCGAGTACAATAACTTCAGTTTTGGCCGTGTTTAACATCAAAAAGTTTAAGGTCATCCACGTTTTTAAGTCCTTGAGGCAGTCTTGAATTGTATTTAGATGATTGGTTTCATCAGGCTTGATTACTAAATATAGTTGAGTATCATCCGCATAACAATGAAAATGTACAGAGTGATTCTTTATAATATTGCCTAAGGGAAGCATATATAATGTGAATAAAATAGGTCCAAGCACTGAGCCCTGTGGCACTCCATGGCTAACTTTGGTCTGCATGGAAGATTCATCGTTGACACATACAAACTGAGAGCGTTCAGATAGATAGGACCTAAACCAGCCTAAAGCAGTTCCCTGTATGCCAACTAAGTGCTCTAGTCTTTGCAATAAGATGTCATGGTCGATAGGATCAAATGCAGCACTGAGATCGAGCAAGACTAGAATAGAGACAAGTCCTTTGTCTGAGGCTATTAGAAGGTCATTTGTGACTTCAACCAGAGCTGTCTCTGTGCTATGATGTGTTCTAAAGCCAGACTGAACATCTTCAAATAAATCATTGTTTTTTAAGTAATCACACAACTGTTTTGAGACTGCTTTCTCAAGAATCTTTGAGAGGAACGGAAGATTAGAAATAGGTCTATAATTGGCTAAAACCTCTGGATCGAGGTTGTGCTTTTTAAGAAGCGGTTTTATCACTGCTACTTTGAATGATTGTGGAACATAGCCTGATAATAAAGACATATTCATAATATTTAATAAAGAAGTGCTAACTAATGGAAAAACGTCCTTTAACAGCTTAGTGGGAATCGGGTCTAAGATACACGTTGATGGTTTAGAAGAGAGAATCATTGAATTTAATTGTTCAACGTTTATGGCTGAAAAGCATTCTAGTTTACTATCTAGTGTAATATTAGAACTTACGTTTCCGGGAGCTGTTGATAACACTATACTGGTCAAAGGCAAGAGGTCATTCATTTTGTTTCTAAGAGTAACAATTTTATCATTAAAAAAGCACATCAAATCCTTACTACTGAGTGCTATGGGAATAGAAAGCTCAATCGAGCTGTGGCTCTCTGTCAGCCTGGCTACAGTGCTGAAAAGAAATCTAGCATTATTCTTATTCTCATCTATTAATGAAGAGTAGTAAGCTGCTCTCGCTTTACGCAGTGCTTTCTTATATTCATTGAGAGTAATATGCCAAATTAAACGCGATTCTTCAAGTTTAGTGGAACGCCATATCCTTTCAAGTTGTCTCGACTTTTGCTTTATTTTGCAGGTTTCGGCATTATGCCATGGAGCTAGTCTATGTTGTTTTATTTTCTTCTTTTTCAAAGGAGCAACAGAGTCTACATTTGTTCGCAGCGCATCTGTAGCACTATCAACAACATGATCAATTTGGGGTGGTGTACATTTTGTATAAGTTTCCTCCCTTACATGCAGACATGCTATCGAGTTAAGTATTGGTGGAATCTCTTCCTTAAATGGCTATAGCACTAACAGACAGGTTTCTGCTGCAGGAGCTTTTGACTAATGGTTTGTAGTCTAGTAACAGTACTTCAAAAGTTACAAAAAAATTGTCGGATAAAGCAGGATTATGCGGTTCGAATAATAGTTGCTCATTTTCAATACCATAAGTCAGAACAAGGTCGAGAGTGTGATTATAACAGTGGGTTGGTTTATTTACACTCTGACGGAAACCAATAGAATCTAATACAGAGTTAAATGCAACAGTAAGGCTATTTTTATCATCGTCAACATGAATATGAAAGTCACCTACGATAATTACTTTATCTGTTGAAAGTACCAAAGTTGATAAAAACTCAGAGAATTCTGATAAGAATTCTGAATAAGGACCTGGTGCACGGTACACTGTAACAAATAAGATAGGCTGCAAAGTTTTCCAGGTCGGATGCGTAAGACTAAAAACAAGGCTTTCAAAGGAGGTATAATTTAATCAACCCGGTATCACGGCAAGACGTGAACATGTGACGATCTACCATGCTGGGAGACGTGAATATGTCACGGTTTCGTCCCTTCAAACGTGACAGTTACACGGTATTGTTAACAGGGCCCAACCAGTGGAGAAATACCCGGAAGTGCCAAGCAAATGGTCTACCGCGCCTATTGGTCGTTTTTATTGTCAAAATTAGATATTTTTAATTTATTTATTTTTATTTATCGTCACACTCGATTTCGCCGATTTTCTTGTTGCCCTCGCTGGTCGTGACGTTGTGCGATTGCGTTGCCAGGCAAATCAGTAATATCTTTAAAAATGACAAGTCCTTTTATATCAGCTGTGCACCGTTATGGTGTAAATATAACCTATCTACCAATTGGATCAAATATAAAAGTCAGCCGAATTAGTATTGATACTGCAAGGAGACGTATTTTGTGAAAAGAAATGTAAGATGTTGTTTAATTGCTGATATATTTATGATCCACGTCACGTTTTCAGTTTTGGCGGCAGTGCTTCCTGTTTGTCCAGAAGTCTTCTCATCAGGGCTCTATAAATACAGAACTACAGCAGATATGTCATATTTAATGCAGCCGAACCGTGTATTACAATGCCGTTATGTGATGACCTCCAAAGAGAAAAGCAAGCAAACTCGGAATAAAGTATTATTTTATTTTGAAAAAATGTTTTCGGGTTTCACATCAACAGGAGTCCGGTTAACTAAAATGTCCGTGCGGAACAATACCCCCAACCCATAGATCCGTGGGTGAATAATGTCAATCACCACATTACACACATCCCTTCACATTTACATTTTAATTTACATTAAAGTATTTCGTGAGGCCTTCTAAAATGTTTTAAAATATAATTAGGGTTGTAGTTGAAGAGTTTGTAAATTGCGTTGCCTGGCAACGCAATCGCACAACGTCACGTCCGTTAATTCCACATGGATTAACATCGATTTAATAGATTAATGTAGCCTTTGTTTCTGCTAAAAGAGGTGTCGACCAGCCAGGGCAACAAGAAAATCGGCGAAATCGAGTGTGACGATTAAAAAATAAATTAAAAACGTCTTGCCGTGATACCGGGTTGAATTTAATTGATAAGTAAACTTGAGTCAAAGATGGCTGCAACTCCACCTCCATGGCCTGTGCCTCAAGGAATATGAGTATTGATATGGCTGGGTGGAGTGGCCTCATTTATGCTGACATATTCTTCATGTCTCAACCAAGTTTCAGTGAGACAGCATATATCAATATTATAATCTGATATTAAATCATTTACCAATATTGCTTTAGATGCTAGGGATCTTATATTTAAGAGACCACATTTAATCTTCCTGTTTTGTTGCACTGTCAGGGGCGCGGGAAGTCAGTCAGAGTTGGGGGTGCGGCGTGCGGGTGCGGTGGGAGGGGAAGATCTTTTTTTAAATATTGAAGTTAAAAGCATCAATCTGGTGCACTTTGAGAGCAAAATTAAGAGATCTATGGATACATCTCTCAACACCCATACGAAACAGAACTGGAAACAGATTATATTTTTCTTGTATTTGACAAATCACTCCCCTTTTAAACTGTTTTCTTGTTTTGTCATATAGTATTTCATAACTGTTTTTCATTTATTCTCTCTGGCTGTCCATCTCATAATGTTCACATAGAAACTAGCTGTCAATAGGAATATCATTCAGAAGAATTATAATTTCATGCAAACATTTGTCACAAAAAGAGGTTGCCCATTTAAATGCAGGTGTTGTTATGGCAACGTCAGTGGCCAAACAGCCACATGTACTGCTGCAAATACGTTCAAACATGCTGTCGACACGTAAAGCAGTGGCAACTATGCCACCATTTCAGCTGACTTTTCCTCAGAAATACTGTCACATAACATCCATATATTTCAGTGCTAGGTTGATGCTTAGCTAAGCTAACTATGAAACACTTTAACTGACAGGACTCAGGATCAACTGTGTACTGTAAGGTAGCTTCTAGCTTCATGTCGAACAGTAAGTCAACATTTCCCAGAGAGCTTTCTTTTAAATCACCAGGTAACACTAAAAAACATTACATTTAGATTGTATGACAAAGTGTTTATTTAATATATCTGGCTAGCTATAGCTACTTGCTAACGGTTTAGCTTACCCCCGCGATTCAAAGTAATGTCAACGTAGCTGTAATTTATGCTTTGCTTACATGTTTGCATAACTTGGAAGTTTACTGACATTTACATACCTTGTTTACCTGGCTCAGGTGGTGGCTCTGGGGTTGTTGTGTGAACCACCACTTGAGAATTGTCATCTTTTTTAAGAACAAATGTTCTTATGTCCATCTTCAAAAACTCTGAGTCCGACTGACAGTTTATTTTAAACATTGTCACAGCTCACAGGATAGGTACCTGTCAGCCAATAAGACAGATGTTTATTTCCATTCAACTCTCTGGTTGGTCTGGTGTCTTGCCTCTGTTGCATTCACTGAACACGGGAAATTACAATTCTGCCGTCCTCTCATGATGAGGTTCAGGTAAAGCACGGTTAATGTATTATATTATTGAGGGAGAATTGTACGGGGCTACAGAAAAAACATTCGGGGCTTTGGTCCTGTATAATAACGTCATATTAAATGCAGTCATTTGGTC